TTTTTTATTCCATCTATGCCGAATTAATCCAGTGGTTGCATCACTTCCAAAGTAACAAAACGGGGTCCAGTCATCACCAGCTTTGAGAGGGTACGATAGTCCAGGTGAAGCACACTGCATCCATTCACACGGCACACAAACTGGCGTACCTAAGCAAAAAAAAAAAAAAAAAAAAAAAATTGGAGACCAGCTGATGATGGATTCTAATTTTTTATTGTGTAAGCAATGTGTTTACGTGTTATGATCACCTTAACTCCTGCTGCCGCAGCAGGGCTTCCAGGATCCACCGCCTGAACATAACAAGGTGATTTTCCCCGTACTACAATGCCCCAGCCTAGGTCATCACCGAGGATCTTTAATGATAAAACTCACATAAAAAAACTGTAGTTCAAGTTTCTTTTCATGGCTAGCTGGGCATGATATGCAAGACTTACCGTAAGAACTCTTTTTATATAAGGAGCACCTGGAGATAACAGCTCCTCACAGGTTACATGTCTTTTCAGCACTGTCAATAACAATAATACACTTATATGTTGTGCTCAGAATTTGGCAACAGATAGAATAATGTAACTAGTTTTATTTTTGGCAATCTTTTAATACCCTTTCTCCTAAAAAAAACTTTAAAATATAACAATTGTTTCTGTAACATATTTTCAAAAGCATGAACATGCTGTCCTATAACCTGATGTGGGATTGCATCGTACTGCAAGAGCAGCGGTAAGAGAAACAGTGAGTGGGGATCCACATGAACTGTGCTGCTGGTGGGTCAAACTTCCACAGTGTCCATTTGTAAGCACATCCTTAGCAGGTTCAACTGGAATTAGAAATCAGAATTATGAATTAGAAAAGTTCATTCACGTAATCTGTTTTCGAAAGAAGTGTTTTGTGTTCATCAAGGCTGCATATTAAATAAAAAATACAGAGTAATATACAGTATATATATATATTGTATATATTTTTTTCTTCAGTAATTTGCTTATATTGTTATATTGGCCAAATGGTAGTCCAGTATTACATTTTGTTGTGTGTCTGGGGGTCCATGAATAGTTTGGGGTTATGAAAAGGGGCCTTTGGTGTAAAATAAAATAATGAGAAACCCTAGGTTAAGGAGCTAGCTTGCTGACACAAAGGTTGCAGGTTGCATATGGAAATGTTGAGTTACTGCGCTCATTATGCTGTGATATCTCAGCTGTGCCCTTGAGCGAGGTACTTAACTTCATATTGCTATATTGCTCCAGAGGGGGCTGACCCAGCAATTATTGTGCTGAAAGTCACTCTGAATAAATTGAGCTATTTGCCTAAGTACCACATCTCAAGCTCTAACTCTCCATATCAATGCATGGAAATATATTTGTAGTATTTTTTATAATTTTAATACCAGATAAGAAGTCACTTTTGCTCTCAGATGGAGAAGTTTTGCGCAGTGTGAAGGGACTGTCTTGGTTATGCTGTGTTATACATTCAATCTCTTCATTCTCCGTCTCATGCAGCAGTTCAGAGAGACAGCGCCGCCGGCGAAAGTTAATGCAGAATTGATACAGCAACCCGCTGTCAAAAAAGTGGTGCTTCAGAGAGACTGCAGAGTGAAATGAAGAGTGGAGTGTTTCAGCAAGGCAAAGCTTGAAGAAGTTATTGCTATATACTCAGGTATGTTGCATTAGATTAACTTCACAGGCAGTGCATTTTCACTTAATGGCAAAATAATACACACACTATCATAATATTTCTTACCATGCTGAATGATATCATGCTCCAGAAGAGCCTTGCAGAGATCTAGTCCATGCCGCCGACTCTCTATTTCACCATTCTGTAGCAGCCAATCAATTAACATGTAACCAGGGAAAGACCGTTCATAAGCCACTCCCTTTTCCTGTCTCAGCTGTAAGATGGAGTCTTTGCTTGTAATCAGACTGTAAAAAGCAACAGATGAATTTTGATACAGGCATTTTGAAAAAGAGACTAATAATGAAAATACTTTTACCTATTAATGTAGGTTAATGTTAATTTATAGCCTACATTTACTACTACACAACCATTCAAATGTTTGGGGTCGGTAGATCTACGCCCACCAATGCTGCATTTATTTGATCAAAAATACCATAAAAGAGTAATATTGTGAGATATTATTATTACAAATTAAAATTACTCTATAATTCTATTTGAATATAATTTTGTATTTTATTCCTGTGATGGCAAAGCTGAATTTTCAGGAATCATTAATATGCTGATTTGCTGCTCAAGAAACAATTGCGTTGCTTAATATTTTTGGGAAGCAGTGATACATTTTTTTCAGGATTCTTTGATGAATAGAAAGTTTTAAAAAGCATTTACTTGAAATGGAAATATTTTATTACATTATTAATGTCTTCATTGTCCCTTTGGAGCAATTTAATCATCCTTGCTGAATAAAAGTATTATGTTCTTTCAACAAAACCCTTACTGACCCCAAACTTTTTTTAACATTTAAATTGACTAAGTACACTAATGTATTAACAAATGTTCTTTGTAAAGTGTTACCAAAAAATGATTAAAAAAGATATACCAATTCAGAACAGACTGAAGGTCTTGAAAACTCTTGGACAACATAATGGACTGGGTGGAAAGTATATTATGTATAGTATTAATGAGGAATGACTGCATTTTAAAGCTAAATTAACATTTAAGTTTTTTTTTTTTTTTACTTCCTGTGAAAATGTCTTACTGTTCAAACAGCCTCTGTCCACGCATGAAGATCTTAACTTCTATGTTGAAAGGAAATGTGCCATCATCTTTTCTGAATCTGTACAAGTATTTGGCATCTTTGAACACGGGCCACTTATCACACACTATTAAGATGAGAAAATTGTAAAATATACATTGATACAACCTGTTCATTCAAACACAATGAGTCAAATAAATGGGTCCTAATATGAGACAACACAGAAAGCAGAAATGACCTTGCTGTATCATAGTCTTTGTTATTTGGTGTACAGTAAATAATGTTCTACCGTGATGAATGATATCATGGTCCATGAGGTACTGCATCAGCTGGACAGCAGTCTCTCGATCAGATACTTCTTTATGAGCAATCAGCCAATCAATTAACTCCTGAGCCACAAAACAATTCGGGTACGTTCGCAAATGGTGTCTGTGGTCCTTAATCAACTTGCTATCATGTAGTCGTAATCTTCAAAACACAGATTATTAGAACCATTATTATGTAAAAAAAAAAAAAAAAAGAATATCACTTAGGCACTGTATAACAGAATAATGTTTCAATATCCAACAAATAATACAATATATAATAAAGTCTTGCAAGTGTGAGTAGGTGAGATTTATAACTTTGTAAATGTCCTCCTGGGACTAAGCTTTGTGAATATAGCGTACCTTAGCTGTTCTCCGGCAATCATTACCTCAGCTTTTTGGTGTCTTGTCATCATTGTACTTTGAATGTTTCCCAGTAGCTCCATGAATGTTCTGTCAAGGCTCTGCTTTTGTGCACTTGTTTTCTTCGCTTTATTTGTGCTTTTGTGTTTACTAAATATACAGTGAACCGAGGCACCAGTTTTTCAATGCTTTGAAATGTTGTGTATACAAATATACTCTCGCTCTCTCTCTCTCTCTCTCTCTCTCTCTCTCTCTCTCTCTCTCTCTCTCCTCTCTCTCTCCTCTCTCTCTCCCTCTCTATCTCTCTCTCTCTCTCTCTGTACATCCTTGTCACAACTTTAAATATTTTCCCAAGTTTAGGGTGATTTTACAGCCAACCGTCTCCAGATAATACATTTAAAAGTAGATGCACTGACTAATGTTGTCTTAACTGTAAATTTGTAAATGTAAAAATTACCTACCTTATCACATTTTGGAAAACATATCAGCCGTTTCACACAATGGCCACATGGTGTCAGTAAAAGAGTTATCAGAGAAACACACCATCATACTGCATGCGTTTTCTGACTATCTTCTAACCTGGGCTAATCATTGGGTCAAAATACCATCTTAACTTATATTGGCTCATCTCAAAATTGCTTCCAGTTAGGTGTTTAAACTTTATTTTCAGTTCAGGATTGTAGTTGCACTGTCTTACATGGCTGAGGGGAGAGGAGTTATACCGTTTTTGTTTTGTTTTTCACTGGCAGCGTGAATCTCACGAAACTGAAACAAGTCCAGGTATCTCACGCTTAAATCATCATAATTTTTTTTGCATTCTCATTACTGCAATGCAGATTTTTTTTTTTTTTATGTTACACTGTAAAAGTGCAACAGTGAAAACCTGTAATTAAACACATAGCAATACAAATATAATACACTTGTTAAAATTATGGGGATTTTTTTTACATGTAAAGCTACCATGAATAGTGGAAATGGCATTCCCAGACTTTTGAGATGTTTAAATTTTATTTAAGAAAATATTTTTTTATATAGGCTATATTTTTAGATTTTTGTTATCTGTCATGTACATTGGAGTAGCCTACATTTTTATGGTGCATTTTATGTTATATAGTTCATGCTTATAGCCTTAATTTAGTGTGATGTGCTCCCCTGATGGTCTTGTGTTGACTGCTCTATCTTTATTATTATTGGTCACAGTTGCTGGAGAGGCCAACTTTAAGGGATCGTGTGGCCTTCCGGTGCACCAGCCAGTACATTTTACAATGACAATCAGATTTTAGCTCAAATGTAGGCCTATTAAGATTAGGTCTATGTAGTAGGCTAATTTAATAACAATTAGGAACTGTGAAATATAGGCCTATAGTCACCAAAACTGTACAACAATACTGTAATGCTTCTGACTGCATGTCAGATCATTATACTGGAAAGTGTATTGTGGTAGTAGCTTGTTTATTATAGCCTACTTATTTAAATATAATAAAAAAAACAATAGGCTACAGTGAGAATCATATATCTTACTCAGAATCAACCCTGAAAAACTTGAAAATAAAAAGTATGCTAACCTTATTAATAGGTTTCTTTTTCCTTGTATAAAATACAACTTCTTGTTTTTTTTTCTTCTTTTGATTTGAGGTAAATGTAACTTGGACGTGCTTTGGTGAGTGTGACAGCTGTGATAGGAAAGAGGGCGTGGTCTCGCTGCGCGGCTCCTTTTAAAGCAGCGTGATTTACTTTCTTTTCAACATACATCCTGCGCTGGTCAACGAGAGACCATCTGAGACCTTAAGGCGAAAACCTGCTAACTTTCCTTTGGCTAAATTGTTCAGGAGGGTGGTTGAAAACGGTGTCTTCACATCCAGCTCGATTTTATAGCCTAAGTGGTGTTTTCAGAACCTTAATGCAACCTAAACCACAGTAATAAGTTGTTCACTTCATCGAAACATCTGCAGAAATCATGACGGCGGAGCATCATGGTCTTCTGGAGCTGGCAAAAAATCAGCTGAATATGGACTACGGTGACTTTGACATGAGGTTTGACGTGAAGAAGGAGACTGCTGCTTTGGGACCAGAGCGCTCTTTTATCCAGCAGTGCGGTCTGCACGTGCCAGGCTCAGTGTCCAGCACACCCGTGAGCACCCCGTGCAGCTCCGTGCCTTCATCACCGAGCTTCAGCCCGAGTGGACAGAGAAGCAGTGCTGACGATCTCTACTGGACCCTGAGCACGGGGACTTATCCACAACACGCAGATCCACACTGTCTTGAGCTAACACCCGAGGATGTCCGGGAAGCCTTAAGTGCGAATCTCATGCATGCACACCCGCCCCAGCTCCACCAGGCAGAGATGGAGGGATACAGGAGCATGGGTCAGTTCCACGCGCCGAGTGTGCATCAGTATCATCAGCAGCAGCAGTACACCGAGCTCGGCCACAATCCCGGCTTTGCGCACGGCAAAAGCATGGATCAGTTAATGCAGCATATCGACTGCTCATCTCAAGGCGCGACGCACCTAAAGTCCCACCATCAGACGCACCACAGGCGCAGCGAGCGCGCGGAGAGCCGCTTCTCCGACCAGCAGTTGGTGTCCATGTCTGTGCGCGAGCTCAACCGACACCTCCGCGGCATGAGCAAGGACGATATTATCCGCCTGAAGCAGAAACGCCGTACCTTGAAGAACCGCGGGTACGCGCAGTCGTGCCGGCACAAACGCGTTCAGCAGAAACACACACTGGAGCACGAGAAGACGAACCTCGCGACGCAAGTGGAGCAGCTGAAGCACGAGCTCAGTCGGCTGGTGCGCGAGAGGGACGCATATAAACTCAAATGCGAGAGGCTAGTTGTCGGAATGAACTGCCAGAGTAACGGACCCTCTTGTGAAAATCCATCATCGCCCGAGTTTTTGCGATAGTTCAAAATGTATTCAGGATTTCTAAAGTTTCTGCTATAAATATCTGAAACCAGAATAAGATTGTTTGCTGGTCTGATGCCCCAAACCCCTCTAAAACCAGCTACAAGACCAGCAAACCATCTTATGGTTGTTTGTTTGTTTGTGTGTTTGTTTGTTTTTCGTCAGCGGAGGAGAAAGTTTTCCTTCTCTTATTCAGTATTTTATATTTTCACTCGACCTTATCTCTGACATGTCAAGCTGGTTTTGATAATGTATCTTTTATCTTTGAGTTTTCACAACAGCCATCTCAGCTATGCAAATGACATTTGACCCTTTTGGCAATAGATGCATTGCATTGGTATTTTTGTTTGTTTGAACATTTTCTATGTCTTTCATTTGTTTCATTAATCAGTTGTACCATTTTCAAGAATTGTTCCTTGAAACTTTTGAAGAGTAAATGATTGTGATTTGCTTTGTTACCTCCAGAATAAATTTTTGAAGCAAAAAAAGTATTCGAGTTCCCTAATCTTTCTTACTTTTGTATGTAGGCCTATCTCATGCGCAGGGATGTTTTATATGTAACCCATCAACCACATTGTTCATAAAAAGTCAACACAGATTGACCTGAAACACACACACATGCATCAGCGCACACACATAAAATATCATGTGAGCATTAAAAAAAAACAGAAAGCAGGTATGTCTACTTGCAGCAACCTTTGACCCTGCTTAGCGGCTGTTTCCTGAGACAACTGTGTTTCTAATGACTCGAGAGACTCGGAGAAGAGCTGCACGGCACTGATTGTACCAAGGTGGAAATAAGTTTAGCCCTCTGCCCTCTCCTTAAGAGGAAAGCAAAGGCCATCCATCCGAACTGTCACTTCATTTCTCTCTCGTACGTAATTGTTTTACTATATAACTCCAATAACAGCCAGCCCATGACAAACTTTACAAGAACAATGAGTAATCTAAACCCTAAATCACGAACAATGTGTAGCTTTAGAATATTTGCACTTTCGGTAATGAAGGATTTAAATATGCAAACCTAAACTAGGCAAATACGGATTGCACGCTTTGTTAATAAAAGTAAATGAAATAAGTAAAGCAGCAGTGCTGTCGCACTTTCACAACACTGACGCAAATAGATTTAGTTATTTTTGGTTTACACAACTCTCCTTTTCTCGGGATCCAAACAACATGTGTGGCAAAACAGCCTTTAACCCTCGACCTTGTTGTCAACTGCTCCTTAACAGTTAGTGCAAGATTGACCTCTTTGTAATGACGTGCCACCTGTGCAATACAGGGTCACAGGTGCAAAAGCAGTTTTTCACGAAGCAACAGATTTACGGTCTCTTTCTCATCCCATTTAGGGTGAGCTTGTCTTTCATTAGCGAGAATGATTGAAAGCATTGTGGACTCTGATCAATAAAAATGTGAATAATGTGACTAAGACTTTAGCGATTCACTCATAATGACTGACATTCACTCAAATCAGTTTTTTGTTCTGTAAGCTGTCTGCTGTGGATTTTTCACAGTAATCATCACTCCTCGGGTTGCATTTATATGACAAGCACTTTTTTATGTACTGTAGGTAATTCTATATAATATCATTGGTGTTTTGTTTTTCTATACGGTGTTCTTCTTGTAGTGAGAAATTACCCGATGTACAGTGTTTTATCACGGCATACGCAGTGCAGTTGTAAAAGTCACTCTCTCCCTGCGCATGAGATATTGTGGCTAATGTCTGAGTCCTCCAGTCCACTCCTTCCCCCACTCTGCCTTCGGCCCATTGAGTCAGCACTCTACCCAAGGTGTCTGCTTCTCTGTGGCATCAGAGGGTCACTGAAATACTGAGGCAGGAAGAGACCAAGAACAAGCTAAAGCGCCAAAAAGTTGATAACAGTAACAGTGGCCTTTTTACTTGTAAACATATTCTGGTTGTAAAACGGGCTGTGATTTGATCGGATGAGCCGTGCACATAAATGCACACCTGACCATTATCATTGTGTATACATTTGTCTGCTTGCTACGGGAACTGTAAACAACTTTAAAGTTTACAAGTTTAAACCTATATTATTTGGCGGAAAAAATGGTTTATTTTCTTTATTGATTATTATTACATTTATAGTCAAGTCAAGTCATCTTCATTTATATAGCGCTTTTAACAATGGAGATTGTTTCAAAGCAGCTTTACAGAGATAAACATACAATTTACGGTAACAGAGATTGTTTTGGCTTTATAGCGATTTTGAATAATGTTATTTCCGGCTAAAGTTGGTTTTGATTGATTCACTTCCAGCAAAATTATCATTTGTTATTACATTAGGGGCCACTAAGACGACGGCGTTCTCTCTAAACAGACTTTAAACACGAACCTGTGACCGGATAGCGTTCACATGCGGATTAAAAATTGATTCTATAGTTATATTCGTTTGAATATGTGTGCGCAGGTTTGTAATTTCCCTACCAACAATGCCTAAACAAACTACTTGTCTTGCCTATAAATTTGATACAGAATTTTATTTTATCACTTCGGGGTACGCGAACCGGATTTTCAACAACGCTTTATCTGTAGAGTGGGAAAGGGATCCTCCATAGGGAGAGGATAGTTGACACTTCAGCACTGCATTGTCATCGGGTTCTGGCGAATCTCCTTCGTCAGATCTGGATACGGCCTGGATCCGGCATGCTGCAGGAAAACCTCGGGATAAACAAAGACACTAAAGTTAGCGTAGATGCCATTCTTCTTATGATGTAACGAGTACATCTGGATTTAAGGGAAGTGTTCCCAGTTCCGGCTGACCTAATCTATGCAGCCTAACATTGAATTATAGAAGTCGATAATGTATTATGTGTATGCTAGGTCAAAGAGATGTGTTTTTAGTCTAGCTTTGAACTGACAGAGTGTGTCTGCTTCCCGGACAATGGTAGGAAGACTGTTCCAAAGTTTTGGTGCTAAATAGGAAAAGGATCTCCCGCCAGCAGTCGATTTAGATATTCTAGGTATTATCAACTGGCCGGAATTTTGAGATAGCAATAGACGTGAAGGACTATAATGCTTTAAAAGCTCGCTCAAGTACTGCGGAGCTAAACCATTTAGTGCTTTGTAAGTAATCAACAATATTTTAAAATTTATACGATGTTTAATAGGCAGCCAATGCAGTGTTGACAGAACCGGGCTAATATGGTCATATTTCCTGGTTCTGGTAAGAACTCGAGCTGCTGCGTTTTGAACTAGCTGTAGTTTGTTTATTAAGCGTGCAGGGCAACCACCCAGTAGAGCATTACAATAATCTAGCCTTGATGTCATGAACGCATGAACTAATTGTTCTGCATTTGTTAGTTTGAGCATATGGCGTAATTTAGATATGTTTTTAAGATGGAAAAATGCAGTTTTACAGATACTAGACACGTGACTTTCAAATGAGAGATTGGTATCAAAGAGCACACCCAGGTTCCTAACCGACGACGAGGACTTAACAGAGCAGCCATCAAGTGTTAGACAGTATTCTAGGTTATTACGTGTGGAAGTTTTTTGTCCAATTATTAGAATCTCTGTTTTTTCAGAATTTAGTAGTAGGAAATTACTAGTCATCCGATTTTTTATATCGGCTATGCATTCCGTTAATTTTGTGAATTGGTAAGTTTCGTCGGGGCGTGAAGAAATATACAGCTGAGTATCATCGGCATAACAGTGAAAACTAATTCCATGTTCCCTAATGATATCTCCTAATGGTAGCATGTACAGAGTGAACAGCAGCGGTCCTAGTACTGAGCCTTGTGGTACGCCATACTGAACTTGTGATCGATAAGGTCAGTTAAGTATGATTTAAACCATGCTAGTGCAACTCCACTAATGCCAACATAGTTTTCGAGTCTATTTAAAAGAATGTTGTGGTCAATAGTATCAAATGCAGCACTAAGATCAAGTAACACTAATAGAGAGATACAACCACGATCGGATGATAAGAGCAAATCATTTGTGACTCTGATGAGAGCTGTCTCGGTACTATGGTACGGTCTGAATCCTGACTGAAAATCCTCGCAGATTTCATTTCTTTCTAGAAAGGAACACAGTTGTGAGGATACTGCTTTTTCTAATATCTTTGATAGAAAAGGCAGATTCGAGATCGGCCTGTAATTAACTAATTTTGTATGATCAAGTTGCGGTTTTTTAACAAGCGGTTTTATCATAGCCAGCTTAAAGGTTTTTGGTACGTATCCTAGAGACAAAGACGAATTAATGATAGTAAGAAGAGGATCTATGACCTCTGGAAGCATCTCTTTCAGTAGTTTAGTCGGTATAGGGTCTAACATACATGTTGTCGATTTAGATGATTTAACAAGTTTAGAAAATTCGTCCTCTCCTATGGCAATAAATGAATAAAAATTTTCCTCATGGAGACTACAAAGCACTGCCTGATGCGATACTGTGGTAGACGGTTGCATAGTTATAATTTTGTCCCTAATATTATCGATCTTATAAGTGAAGAAGTTCATAAAGTCATTACTGCTGTGTTGCTTGGACACTTCTGAGCTTGAAGCTTTCTTTTTCGTTAGTTTAGCTACTGTTTCAAATAAATACCTAGGATTATGTTTATTTTCTTCTAATAGGGTTGAAAAATAAGCAGATCTAGCAGCTTTTAAAGCCTCTCTGTAAGCAATCGAGCTCTCCTTCCATGAAATCCGAAATACCTCTAGTTTAGTTTTCTTCCAGTTGCGCTCCATTTATAATTCTATCATTTATAATAATATAATTTATAGTTGTATTTATGTTATCAATTTTCTGTTACAGCAATATGATAAAATAAATATATATTTATTTCATTTATAATTTTAATATAATATAAATATTAAATTGTTTATTACATATACATTTACAATTGTATATATCAAATATAATATTATTTTTAATTATATATATTGATAAAATGTATAATAATGAATCATATTTAATGATATTGATTAATTATATTAAAATTAGAATTACTTTGTGCCTCGTAGAACATTTTTACATTCTAGCATTTTTTTATTTTAGCATTTAAATTATTTATTTTTATTTATAATTGTATATATTTATTTCATTTGTAATGTATATAATATTACAATTATAAATTAAATAAATATATATTATACAATTATAAATAATAATATAAATGCATATTATATTAAATGTAAAAATGTAATACATATATTTATACATTTTATGTAATACACATTTATTTTTTGATTTACAACTGTATAATGTACCATATTTATTTCAATTATCATTTTAAATTAAGATGCATTATTTGTATTACATTTAAACATTTTTATATAATTTACATTTCTAATTTTATATTAAAATTATACATGTAATAATATTTATTAATCATATTAAAATGAGAACTACGTGTGCCATGTAGAACATTTTGAGCTCTAGCATTTCTTTTTCTTTTCTTTTTTTTTTGTACATTCGTCCACCTGCAGTTCTAGTACAGTACCCAAGTAACATCCTCTGGCCGAACACTAAGTCAAAA